ATATCTAATATATATCTAAAACAAATATCATTAATTTTTAAAATAAAAGGAACAGGTGACTCTATCTGTCTAAGTCAATCTAACAACACATTTAATATGATACACTATATAAAAATACTGTAATTTCAGTGTGTAATTCATGAAAATGTGAATTAGTTATTTTACATGGTTTTCAACATTTTTAAGCATAATGTTGTTGGTTCTAGAAGAGTATCAGCCATGTTGGGATCTAGGGAGATGACTCAGGCAATAAAGTGCTTGCACACAAACATGATCTGACTCCTAACTTTGGACTCCATGCATCCATGTGAAAACAGAGCGAAAGATAGTGCATCTGTAGTTCCAGAGCTGGTTTGAGCCTTGGAGACAGAAGGATCACTGGATGTTGCTGACCAGATCAGCTAGTCCAGTGGTACACTACTTGCGGAGTGAGAAGAAGTATCTGAAAAGAATAAGGCAGAGAGCAACAGAGTAAGACAGCAACAATGGCCTCCAGATTCCACATGTGTGGACACACATGTAGAATCAATTCCTTTGATTAAAAATTGAAGCATTATCAATTACAACACTATAAGAGCTATTTTGATTTTCTAAATTAAATAAATCTAAAAATTGAATTCAAAAGAATAACTGAATGACATCATCTTCTATCTTGTCCTTAGGTAATATAGAATAAAAATAAAAAGTAGTAAAATAAGTAAAATACAAAAACGAAACTTTAAAGATATGGGACAGAACAAAGCAATTTTTCCTAGTAGTTCTACAGTGCAACACTCACTGTTTTCTTTCTTACCTTTTTTGTTTGTTTACTTGTTTTTTTATTGGTTTTTGTTTTTCCTTTATGATTTGCTTTGGTCTGTTTGCTTGTTTTGTTTTAGACAAGTACTAGCTTGCAGTATTCAATGTTTTGGAACTTGCTGTGGAGACCTGGATGGCCTAGAACTCAGATATCTGCTTGCTTCTGCATCCCTAGCGCTGGTGTGCACCATTAACACGAATGGCTCACCTTTTTTATTTTTTTTTAAATCAAGCTCATGAACAAGTCTTGATTTATGAGTAGCATCTCACTTGATTTATGATTACTATATTTCTTTTTATAAGTTCATGTTTAGGCATACAACTTCATATTGCTTTTCATCTTTGTCAAGTATCCATAATCAAATCTGATGGACAGAGTAAACATTTTACAACTGTAACAACCAATCATCCCTGAAGATACAGAAATTTTCAAACAAAGGTTTTTGCTATCAAAATGATAACGACTTGAACATTGAAGTTTTTCTTTTCAGATTCAATCTAGATGCGTTATGTGTCTGTGGGTGGAAAACATTGAAAACAGAGCAATTGCTGATGTAGTGATGAGCCTTGATACCTGATAAACTGCTTGGGAAGCAAACAAAAGACCTGCTTAGTGGTTAAAATCTAGCATCTGAGAGGAGATGTTTTGATTTCTGCCACATGGACAAAAATAGTAAAACTACAAAAACAGGCAATGTTTCATAAAACTTAGATTTCTGACAATAATTTTCCATTATAAGGAAATTGTCTCCTACTTCACCCAAACCCATTATGACTATCTTTCAAAACCATGAGACAATCTTACAGGTACTGTAGGTTTCTATACACTCTCTTATCAACTCACAAATGGGTCATTTCTAGGTAGGTAAAGTAGCAGTATATTCTCTGGCATGATACTAGCTCAAAGTTATGAATTATTCTAGATATACTATGATAATTATTGTGTTTATTATAATAAGTAGACTTTATTGTCTATATATCTTGCTTCATGGTTTTCTTTTCCTGGGTCCTTTTCCGCAAAGCTGCCAAATCAACCTTGCTTTTATGTCATTTCAGACCACATTATGTAGACCACTGACCTCAATACACACACACACACACACACACACACACACACACACGTGTGTGTGTGTGTGTATGTATGTATGTATGTATGTATTTTATGTTTTCTCTCCATTTTTTCTCTTGTCACCATTAGATTCCAATTCTTCTGCTTTCTCTATGGTATATGTGTCCAAATTTCCACATCTCCCAATCAGCCTTTTTGGTGTCAAAAGTCAGAGTTTCAAACCATTCCTTTAGTTAACCCTCAAAGTAGTACATACTTGAGGGAGGTACATTAAGACTCAGGAAGTAATCTTAGGAAGTCCGGGGAGTAAAATGAAAAGTCTCAGGAAGTAGCGAAACTTACAAAATTTACTCCAAGGTTACTTAAGCAGTAGCAACTGCTATGGAAACAGCTCACAGGAGTAGACCAGTTGAGAGTCGTTGTGCAAGGAGTCTTATTGAGGTAGAGCTTATGAACCCTCACTCTTGCTGGTGTGGGCATTTAGTCTAGGTAGCTGTCTTTGAGTATCTGGAGTTCTTGTATGTAAACTGTGGCCCCTTATATGCATGCATGCATGTTAAGTAATGGTAAGCACTCATAAATTCTTGGGCTCACTGAGCACTATAGACTTCAATACGAATGCATCTTTAGTTTTTCTTGACTGTGCTCTTCAGGGCAAATATTTTTTTTTATGTCTCCCCATGAAAAGTTACACAACATAATCATATAAGGGTTCTTGAAATAATTTCCTGGAGTTTATCTAGATAAAAGAAGTCTATTGGGCTTTTATTAAGTGCAATGGTAATATTTAACTGACTTATTGCCTATGTATTTTGATCCTTTAGTTACTGTGCAACAATGTTGGCTGGAGTATACACTGCCAGGAGGTAAAGATTATTTTAGTGTAATTGCCTTTATAAAAGATTGATGCAACAGCATCTTGTTAAGTATTTCATAAAGACATTTTACGATTACAAGCATTTCACATCAGATATGGGTTAGGTGCTTTAAAATAGGAGATAAACACAATTATATATGCAAATTTAGAGATGATGGGAAAACTCCATCTTCAATCTCAAACTGTACCAATTAGGAGTTTTTATTGTATAATGTTTATACATACCTATGTTGAGATATTATCTTGATAATCATAATGTCTTGGTAGCAACATGGAAATGCTTATTTTGTAATAAAAAATAGCCACTCTTCACTGACTGCTTGCTGCAGAGCAGGATCTATACAGCGAGAAGCCAGCTCTAAGCTCCACAGTACGCAAGGGTATTTGTTGTCCCTTGTATTATAGATAAGTGAGTGCAAGCTTATGTGTCTTAGGGGGCTTCTCCAGGGTTACTATCCGCCATGTGGAATGAGTTGGAAAGTGGAGTTTTCTGACTTTCAAGTGCAAGAGTCCTTACATCATCCTCTAATACTCACACTACTAAAATAAGAAAACCAAATTTGTGAGTAAAATGATGAACGGTTTGGATGAAGTAGTGAATGGAATTTTCCAACACATCCTTTGTTTAGAACTTCTTAATTTGTTTTTTTTTTCAAGAGTTGGTAATAGGAAAAAGAGAGAATACTAAAAAGGGACAAAGATATATTCAGTATTGGGCACTTGGTCCCTTTCCGTGAAAGGACTTGGATTAATTAGATGAACTCCATCTAATATTTTTTTTTGTAGGTGAATAATAAGAAAGCTCTGCTCCACACTAAGTAGGGATGGTTGTTAAAGGAAGCAAGCTTCTCGATGACAACCTAAAAAAGGTACTGACAGGAAATGAGATGAGTCGCAAAAGGCTGGGGTTATTATGCTCTTAATAATGAAGGCATTAGCACAGCAATTGTTAGAATTTTATCTATTCCATCATGAAGCAAGGATCTAGATAGCGTGCAGTAATTAAAGATTGACTTTGATTTAGATAATCCATTTTAATTGCATTTTTAATTGTAGTGAAACTTTTATGAAGTACCATCTAAAAAAATGCTGATGTGGAAAGATTAACTAATCAAGATCAGGCCGTTATATTTGAATTACTAGAAAGGGACTGTGAGTGCAAGTGTAAAATACATCTCTCAACTAACACACAAGTCCCTGTAATCTCATCTCACCTTCTAGGAACAATGAATAACAAATTAAACCTGGTTCACAAAGTGTCATACAATCTGGCAGCAAGATTCTAATTGATGAAGAAATGGCTATTTTAGTGATCCTTAACAGCCATAGAAAATTTCAATTACTGAGAACTGTGACAAAAGCACCTTAAGGCGACAAAATCATTTCTAACGGTTTATGTTAACCAACTCGGGAGTCCCAGTGGACAGTTTCAGACCTATTAGTGTACTTTCCTCTTAAGTTTGGTTGAGGGAATAGGAAGTCAATTTATTCCCTGAATACAGAACAAAAAATTGTGCTGAAAAGTCAGAAATTGACCAGGTGTGGTAACACACTGTATAATACTAGCTGTTGGAAGACTGATGCAGGAGGATTTCTGTGAGTTTAAAGCCAATCAAGAATTCATTGTACGATCTTGCTTCAACAAGCCTCACAAATAAATAAAATAAAATCCAGAAATACAAAAATGCATTTTCTTGCTCAGATTACCATTTGATACTTTAAAGAGTTTGTCTCCATAAAGCTTCCAGAGAATTCAGGGTTTTGCCTTAGTACTATAGTGAAATTCAATGCATGGACATTACTTATATTTCTGCCCCTGTCAATAACCTGATTCCTTTTCTTACCCAGTTTCATGGTGGCGTTTCTCATGTATTATTACAACATAAAATAAGGTTTTGTTTCTCATCCTAAACCATTGGGCACAGTATGTTTTTATTCTGAACAGATTGCTATGCTTTTTTTCTAGTTTGACTGATATTCTATCATCAGAGCTTAGCGTCTCTCTGTCCCCTCTACAAATATGTCCACAAGCACATTATGTACCTACATATCAGTAATTCTCATGTTTGGTATTCAATTGTTTCAGGGTAAATCTAAAGTCTGAGCTCATTATCACTTGATTGAGAAGTATAGATTATTTTTCAATGACTCCATATTGTTTATTTTGCAGGTGTTTGTACCACAATGCATATGTGGAGGTCAGAAGACAATTTTCAGGAATCAGTTCTCTCTTCCCAGTAGGTGGATTGTAGAGAGGGCAGGCAATCAGTCTTCATTTCTGTAGATAAAGTCAGATTACCTATGTGTTTATTCACATCAACAAATAATAGGATATCTTTAGTCATATAACATATAAATCTTTAAGAAATTCTCTTATAATACATAAAGTCACATTTTTCTAGAAACCACTTATTGAATATTTGCCATAATATAAATCTAGCAGCATAGAAAATGGTTGTAATCAGGTATTGTGTGAAGTGCTCTAGGAATGAACAGTCAGACTCAGAGGTTTTCAAGTCCAAGAGCTAGGGGCTTACTCCTCCAAGTTTTAGAAGCCACAGACACGGGTCGAAGCATTGAAACTGGAGGCTTACTCTCCTCCACTTTAGATACCAGTAGCCTCAGCAGTTGGAAGCTGGTATCATTCTTAGTTTTCAAGACCCATGAGTAGCAACAGCAGTAGAAAGCAGGAAACAACAGGTATTCTCTACAAGCCAAAGCATGTGTTTCTACTTGTGTTTCAGCTCTTGTACTGGTCTGAGATATCTGGATACTCAGTCCTACAGTGACAATGGAGCAGCTCTCAGATCAGAATGTCAGGATCATTAGTCATTTACCGGTGTTAGTCCTCTGAGGGCCTGTGCTGTTTGAGACCTGTGGCTCTTACAACTTGGTTTTACTATAAACAATGATGGTCTGTAGTTTATCTTCAGCATTTCCCAGTTACAGTCTCCATCCCTTCTTCTCATTATTTATGATTTAGCTGATCTTTGGAAGTCTCATTGCTAACTGTTACGGCTATCACTGTGAGGGCTGAGTCAGCAGCTACTCCTACCTCCCTCCTGCATCTTTGTTCCCAATCTGCTGCTGAGTCCTGTATCTTCTTTTCACAGTAAAAGTTTACTGACTCTTCTACTGACAAAGATCAAAATGAGCAAGAGAGAGTTGAGGCAAATCAGAAGAGTGTCTCTTGATTAGTTCAAAGAATGAACTAAACATCTAATCTCCAGAAAGAGGGTATGATGAGATGTTTGTGTCAGTTGTATAAGGATACCGCGCCAGGAATGAGTGTATGTACACCAAGTAGAATACATCCTTTATGCAAATGAAAGACCATGTGTACACCACTTACACATCTTCTATTAAGCCACTAGGGAAATACTTCCTCTGTTTCTTCTCTGGCTTGGGTGAAAATGCCTACAAGGTCATTTAGTATCCCATAAAGCTTTTCCTGCTAATTTTGTTCAGGCATACAGCAGACTTTTCAAAGCATCTCTGTAACTGTGGTTGTATTGTTTCTCTGCAGTTGCTGAAGTATCTACAGAATATGGCAAAGTGCTCAAAATAGCAGGGCTTCCCTGACGTACATCTGGCTGGCACCTTGGTTGATAGCCCTTCACTGATGAGAGACCAGAATAGGGTGTAATGGGCTCAGTAATTCAAATTAGGCCTCCAGTCATCCCAAGTTCCCAACATCTCAGTTCATAGCAAAGAAAACTTAATAGTCAAAGCAGTACCTAAATTAAAGCCTTGTCATGTACAATAATAGAGGTTTAAGAGTATTAAATTGTTTTCTAAACATGTTTAACTCCTGTCCCAGTACACTAGAAAGGATAGGTCTCTTTGAACTGTTTCATAAACAGCTGATGCTTCAAATATTTTGTTTGTGTGTTTAACCGAAAGTACATGTGGAAGGCAAAAACTCGAAATAGTCCAGCAGGTGCCAATAGCTTTTAAGGAAGAGGGATGGTAAAATACAGGTAAAATAAACATAGGAAGAGGGATTCTGGGAGCAGAATGGTGAGATATGAGGCAATACGGTATTGCAAAAAGGCTTGACCAAAACAAAGGACACATAAAACAACTATATGGAAATCTAGGTTCTTCCAATCCAAGGGGAAAACTTCAATTAGAGGAATGTGCAGAAAACAAGTGGCATGAAAGAATAATGGAAAATACTTGGACTTAAAGGTTTCAGTGGGAAAATGGATTAATAAACACAGAAGAAGAAGAGAAGGACGGAATGGAAAATTATGGGTAATTGGAAAAATCTTACTTTCCTAAGCAAGATTTTTAAGGATTAAGACAAAATAAGATACCTTTCTTTTACAGTGAGCATTGATTAACATAGGAACCTTACAGCTAAGGATTCATGGAAGCAAGTTGACATACTATAGATGGAAAACGTGTTAAAATTTGAAAAGACAGAAATTATGAAAACATCTGGAAAAGGATGACTATCCAAATAAAGAACATAAAAATTGCATAATCAAGCTCTATGACAATATTAATAATATGATATAAAATGATTATCATATCCTGGTGTCTGAAATACAGTGAAATGTAAAACTTAGGTTTTAAATTTCTATCTTTATAAAGCTACCATGTATAAAAAGGGGGATATGTAGTATTTTAAATTGATTTCCCAATTGGGTTTTTAGCTTTAGTGACATCTCAGCAAGATCTTAATAGATTTCTTCATCAACAGCTCTTGATAAACTGATTATTAAATTTAGACAGATGACTATGGAACCAAAACCTACAAAATTCATAGAATAAAATAGTTATCCCACTACACACAGAACACATTATAAGGCTGCTGTGTTTAAGAGTGAGACTTTAAGTGTTAACAAGTAACATAGAAGTGAGGGAAGAATGACAAGTGGAGGGCTCAAGTATAACAAAAGCAATATTGTAGACTAATGGGGAATAGAGGGAGTGAGTTGGTAGTGCATGGTATGAAACAACGTGTTTGCGGAGACAGAGGAGAAACAGCTTTGCTATGTTTCACCAAAACATTCTTTTGTAAAAATATGATAAAAATCATTTGATTCCAAAGATTAAAATTTTCTGTCCCTCATAAGATAGGGAGAAAACAACAAAAATAGAAGTCTGGGATGAGGAAATGATATGTTAAGCAACAAGTAGAAAGTATGAAAAATACTGTATCAGCAAGAAATTTAAAAAATGGGTGATAGCAGGGGAGCTCTAAACTAAAGGGATAGTTCTAGGGAAAGAAATGAAATGCTCAGTAAGATTATTTGCAGGTGCAAACTTGTCATAATAGGATGTATTCAAGTTCAAGTACCAGACAGATAACATTTATTCCAACTAAAGTGGCCAACACCAAAGATTAATAACAAGTATCAGTAAAGATGTATAATTGGAAACTGTGAACATCTGTAAAATGTTTCTCATAACAGAAAACCTGCTCACCACCGAAGTGCATCAACAGGAGGCTTGTAACACAAATAGGGCCACATTTATATCAGGATCTAAAGGTTGGGATGCAGGTGAGTTGGCACAGTTCTTGCTCAGGATGCATAAGACCCCAGGGGTTGAACCCAGTACCACACAAACCAAGCAAAATGGTACACTCTTTAATCTCAGCACTCAGGAGGAGAAGGCAAGAGGTTTAGCAGTTCAAAGAAAATCTCCGCCAGTTAATCCCAGGTAACTCAATGACAGCCTGAGATACACATGGCCTTGTCTTTAAATGTTTTAAAAATAGATTTAAAAATAAGATGTTAATATTGAGCTTGATACAAGCATGCCATTAAAGCCACAGCATTAAAACAAAACAAAACACAAACTGCAAGTAGTCCCTGGTTTTCCTTAAAGTACTTAGGAAAGTCTAACAAAGCAACAGAAAATTTTCTCATAGTTTTGGAATGAAGTACAAGGTGAAAGTCACTGACTTGGCTTCTTTCCATTTGGCTTCTGTGACTTCACGAAGTTTATACATAAGACATAAAGAAAGACTGGATAGATGGATAGATGATAGAGAAACCGATAGAGGACACATACAGAGATGGGTAGATAACACTGTTTTTCTGTTCATTCATAATTTAATTGTGCATGTTTATGGAGTACAGGCTAAGACTGAAACCCATGTGTACAGTACATGCTCTTCAAACAATGAAGGTAATTACATGTCAGTTGCCTTGGATTACTCTGTGATTTGGCTATTCCAGTTACCAGTAAGCAGCATGCAGGTTATTGGGAAAGCAGCTATCTGACTGCTCTGGACTGGAAGGTACAACACCTACCTAGCTATGGTCAAGAAGCTACTATGCAGCCTCCTCTTTTCTCTTCCCAGTCTTCTAAGCCTAAGGTAGATGCTGCTTTACAATGAACTCTTACTAGTGTATATTAATTGTACAGTTAAGAAGCTCATGATGACATTCTGAAGTAGGCACATTGCATACATCTTTTTTTAGACCTACATTAACAGATTATGGACCCCTCCTTTCACCCTCTTAATTCCCTTTTCTATCCAAATAAGGCCCCTTCTATTGTTATGTCTTTCTTAAAAATCTAGATTCTGCTAGCAAAAAAAGAAGATGTGAAAATTTTCTTTCTGAGTTTGGCTTATTTCATTAACATAATGAATTTAAGCTCCTTCCGTGTTCCTGCAAATGCCATAACTCTGCTCTTCATTGCTGATAAAAAAAATATTATATAACTTGGACATTTTTTTCTTTATCCACTTTCTTTAGCATCCATAACTGAGGAAGTGTATTCAGTCTCTCTCTCTCTCTCTCTCTCTCTCTCTCTCTCTCTCTCTCTCTCT